TGGAAGGAGTGATAGAGCTGCATGTTATCAGCATATTGAAGATACACCATTCTGAATCTGCAGATGACCTCCCCCAGCAGCCTCATATAGATTTTAAACAACAATGGGGAGCTGATCAATCCCTGGGGGACACCACAATTGAGAGGCCAAGCAGTGGAGACCATCTCCCCAACTTGCACTCTCTGGGGGTGGTCCTCCAGGAAGGAATGGAGCCAGGCCAGGGCACCAATCCCTAATCCAGAGAGCCTTCCCAGGAGGATACTATGGTTGATGGTATCAAAGGCTATTGAGAGGTCAAGGAAAACCAGCAGGGACATTTTACCCATGCTGGCCTCCCTCAGAAGGTCATCGTGCAGGACAACCAATGCTGTCTCCATGCCATGACATGGCCTGAACCCTGTACTGCAATGGGTCGAGGGCATAGGTTTCATCAGGACAATAGTTGTTATAACCATCTGCTGCCAAATTCGGTTTTTTAGGTTTTTCTTGAGAGTATCAACAACTAGAAAATAATATTTTTGGTTTTTTTAAAGACTAGTTGTTTATCTGTGCAGAATAGAATGCTTATAACCATGCCATTATAGTACCACTTTCAGTCTTACCACTTTCAAAATTAAACCTTACAGACAGAGCATTCATACTTATGGATACAGATTTGAGCATAGAATATGAGGCTAATGTTATTTTCATGCAAAGCTGCTGTTATTATCATTTAATTACATTCTCCTTCCCATGTAGCAATGTGAACAATTCATTTCCTTTTTGGGTTAACCTTTATTTTGGAGGTGATGTCATCACTCTGAAATATTTGAATTAAAAAGTGTTTGCTTAGATGAAGAAAATCCCTTGATTCTAGGTAAGGAAGTACTGCTCTGTTCCTTTTTCTTGCTTGAAGCACAATCTAGATCCTTCCCTATTCCACTTTCTAGGGCCCAATCTTTTTACAATTTGTGCTGCACCATTCCAAAGTCAATTTGCCTTTATCTGTCTAAAAGCCGACACCCAGAAAGAGCCTGGCAGCCATTTTGTGGTTTTCCCCGCTCCTCTCCCCGCCTAACAGCTGATCGGCTGGCTCTGAGCAGGCTTCTGGAGGCTTGCTCAGCACCTAAAAAGCCTGCCTGAGTGCCTTTGTGCTGAAAAAATCAGCACAACATGCTTTAAAACATTATTTAAAATTGGCTTCGTTTTTTTAAAAAAAGAGTTCTAAAGTGCTGCCTTTAGTGTTCCCTGCCTTCCCTGAACCTAAGGGGGAAAAAGAAAGAAAATATCCCCCTCCACAGATAATCGGAACACCCACCTAAAGAACCTCCATCTTGTCCAGGTTCAGCCTCAATCTGCTTGCTCCCATCCAATTCAGTACCACAGACAACACTCAAGGGATGGGACAGCATCCACTACAGATGGATGGAAGGAGTGATAGAGCTGCATGTTATCAGCATATTGAAGATACACCATTCTGAATCTGCAGATGACCTCCCCCAGCAGCCTCATATAGATTTTAAACAACAATGGGGAGCTGATCAATCCCTGGGGGACACCACAATTGAGAGGCCAAGCAGTGGAGACCATCTCCCCAACTTGCACTCTCTGGGGGTGGTCCTCCAGGAAGGAATGGAGCCAGGCCAGGGCACCAATCCCTAATCCAGAGAGCCTTCCCAGGAGGATACTATGGTTGATGGTATCAAAGGCTATTGAGAGGTCAAGGAAAACCAGCAGGGACATTTTACCCATGCTGGCCTCCCTCAGAAGGTCATCGTGCAGGACAACCAATGCTGTCTCCATGCCATGACATGGCCTGAACCCTGTACTGCAATGGGTCGAGGGCATAGGTTTCATCAGGGCAATAGTTGTTATAACCATCTGCTGCCAAATTCGGTTTTTTAGGTTTTTCTTGAGAGTATCAACAACTAGAATATAATATTTTTGGTTTTTTTTTAAGACTAGTTGTTTATCTATGCAGAATAGAATGCTTATAACCATGCCATTATAGTACCACTTTCAGTCTTACCACTTTCAAAATTAAACCTTACAGACAGAGCATTCATACTTATGGATACAGATTTGAGCATAGAATATGAGGCTAATGTTATTTTCATGCAAAGCTGCTGTTATTATCATTTAATTACATTCTCCTTCCCATGTAGCAATGTGAACAATTCATTTCCTTTTTGGGTTAACCTTTATTTTGGAGGTGATGTCATCACTCTGAAATATTTGAATTAAAAAGTGTTTGCTTAGATGAAGAAAATCCCTTGATTCTAGGTAAGGAAGTACTGCTCTGTTCCTTTTTCTTGCTTGAAGCACAATCTAGATCCTTCCCTATTCCACTTTCTAGGGCCCAATCTTTTTACAATTTGTGCTGCACCATTCCAAAGTCAATTTGCCTTTATCTGTTCTGCCTGTCCACACTGTGAAATTTGGTGTAATCCACCCAGTGTTTAAAAGGTCCTTATCTTCAGTGCAATCTATTTTAACTCTTGATACCAATTCATGAAGGCAGAACAAAGAGCTATTTTACGTCTCAGTGAACTGTCTCAAAAAGATCATGTGCCCAGAAAGATGGATTGTTTTAAGTAGAAACATGAGCAGATGAGGTTTTTTTTTTCTGTGCCAAAGAGGCTCTTAATGGTGCCACTTGCAACTCTGCTGCTGCATGATTGGGCTGACTCACTGGTTTTGGGGGCTAGACCATTTGTTCATCTGGAACTTTTGTACAGAAAAAAACCCTGCTGTAGTGCATATCAGTTTCCCATCTCTCCTTAAAACACACACAAAAATGTGACTCAGTTCTTCCTTTTCCTCTCCCATATTCTCCACAGAGGAAAGGCATAAGGATTATTTGCTCACATTGGGGTATTTTTCCCAGGAGGCTTTGGCAGCTGCTGATCTTTTACAATTCCTGCTAGACATATTGAATACTGTCAATGTGTTTACCTCTGGCCCAAAGGGGAAGAGGTTTATGCCAATTTAATTCCTGTGAGTTACTTTCCATGAAGGGATGTGGGTAGACAACAGCTGAGACACATTTTAGAAAGTATGGCAATTGCATTTTAACCAAATCATTTGCCTTGTCATCAGATAAGTCCCTATGGAGGATCTGCTGATTACTTTATTATCTTCTTAGGCTATAGGTAAATTGTTGAATTGCAAGCAATTTGGGATGAAAGTGTAAATATTTAGGCTGTTTTTTTAAAAGAAATGGTTACATGAAGGATGGTCCTGGTTTTAGACTTTTTGCTGAATTTTTGCTATTTAACTATGAGCTTGCATAAAGAGTACATTAGCTTATAAAATGCATTTTGCTTGGAAGTTTATCAGCAAAACCTGCATATATATATATATATGCAGAACCATATTAATGTCAATAGATCCTTTTAGCTGTATCAGGCAAGCTAATCTCAATAACAATTTATTTCAGGTTTTCAGAGTTGTATTGTACCTGTGTTAGTCAATTATTCTGAGAATTTATTTTTGTTTTAAGTAATAGATTAGTTTTTCTCACATATCTCTTTTAGGCATTTTTTAAAACAGTGTTTGCAATTAGTAGTAATTTACAACTGAACCCTCTTCCTGACCCTATATATAGTTTGATCCTCAATATAAACAGGTATTCCCCTTAGCATTGTTCTGCTTAGATTACCCCTCTTTGGCAGACATGTTGATGAAATAATTCAGTTATTTATTTTAATTATATATGGATGCTAAATTTCTGGTCATGGTCACTCATGTTTCAGTTGCTTGGAATCATGTGGCTGTAGGACACTCTATGTAGGGTTGCCTTGAAGAATGTCCAGAAACTACATCTGGTTCAGCATGTACTAAATATATATGCGAGACACCTGACCACAGACACGGTGTTTAGAAAGTGTTTCTCCATTATTGCACCAACTTCACTGGTGCATTTCCAGGGGGGGAAAAAACTATAGGAAATGATTTACTGTCTCTGAGATTATATGTTACTTACTCTCTCTAAGGTTCCAAATAGCTTAATTGTGGGGTATTGTATGAGGCATCTGTGAGAGATATCTGGGTAACATGCATATTTACAAGGAGATTTGGCAAGGCTTTCTGACTCTAAATTTTTTAACAGTTGGAAATGAGTGAAAGGTTAAAGGTAAAGGTAAAGGTTTCCCTTGACAATTTTTGTCCAGGGGGCGGTGCTCATCCCCTTTTCCAAGCCATAGAGCCAGCGTTTTGTCCGAAGACAATCTTCCGTGGTCACATGGCCAGTGCGACTTAGACACCGAACGCTGTTACCTTCCCACCGAGGTGGTCCCTATTAATCTACTTGCATTTGCATGCTTTCGAACCGCTAGGTTGGCGGGAGCTGGGACACGCAACGGGCGCTCACTCCGTCGCGTGGATTCGATCGTATGACTGCTTGGTCTTCTGACCCTACAGCACAGGCTTCTGCGGTTTAGCCCGCAGCGCCACCTCGTCCCCTTACTAGTCTCAAACATCTGTAATTCTAAATTATGCTGAATTCCCCAAGCTTTTCTTTATTTAAGCACTAGGTGATCAGTCTGGCAGCTTGATTTAAGACTGGAAATAGACTCTTAGAAAACCTTGTTCTCAGAAGCAACACTTTCTAAATAAATTTCCGTTACTTAAATAGGTATCAGTCTGTCTTATTTTTTAAAATTTAGTCTGTCTTGTTTTTTATTGTGTCCTTCATGGTTTGGTGTTTGCTGAATATATTTAGTGATATGTTGCTCAGTTTCTTTTATTTTAATTTTATTTTAATCACATTGTGTTCTCTTGAGTAGAAAGGAAGGATAATTCTTAAGAAGTGAGCCAAATCTAGAAATAACTTCCTAACATTGCTTTCGCAATCAGGCTGCCACATTCTGTGGCCATTGCTAATTCTTACTGTCACTTTGTTCATTTGATACATTTCTGAAGTTGTGAAATTCACTATTTTTCAAGAGATTCCTGAATATTTTGAATGTCAAGAAATGTACAACATGAGATGTTTGTATCTGTCCTTAATTTTTTTGCAGCACTCTCAACAATAACAATATCACAAGACTCTCAGTGGCAAGTTTCAATCATATGCCCAAGCTCAGAACCTTGTAAGTAATTACCATATATTATTTAACATATGAAATTGTCATTCTTTTAACAATTGCAGTCCTTTTGAAGGACCCCATTTTCATTTTAAAATCACAGTTTTATGTTTGGTGGACTATATTTTTAAGTGTTTGATCTCTTGGAAGTACCACTTCCGGAAGCTGTGACTCACTTCTTTGAAGACATCCCTTACTTAACCAAACCATCCCTTTTTCGTCTCTGTCGACCCTTTAAGAGGTGAGGGATGGATAGATTACATATGTAATTGCATCAGTTGTAGATACAACATGTTTTCAGGGGGAAAATCAATTAATCTTTATCAGACCCCATTAAAGATCAGAAATGTGACTCATTTGATTGTGCAACAAAATGTATTTTCATTTGGCTGACCCAGATGTGACATATTCAAGACATTCACACCAATGAAATTTTCATAGATAACGGTTTCTTCATCTGTTTCTTTTTGCCATGGGAGGACAGAGCCTGTGGTAGATTGAAATTTGGAATGGGGAGAAGAGATTTTTATAACCTTGAGATATCTGAGAAGCTGAACAGATCATGTCTTCATTTTAGATCATAGGAGAATCAGTGGCTGTCTGTCAGATTTAAGAAATGTAAAATCTTTACGGTTTCATTGCTGTAATGCTGGTAAATTTAATTACATTAAAATGGTTCCTCAGATTCATTGTAATGCAGAAGGTATAGCATTTTCCAATTGTGCTATATAATTAAGGATGTGTCATCATTGATTTCACAATCTCAATTTTTGGAGGTTGAATCTTACATATAAAATGTGCTTAAAGTAATTGAGAAAAAAATTAAACAAATTCCTATCAGTCTTAATTAAAAACAATAACGTGTTTGATATTTTAGCGCAAATAGCTAAGTTGAAACATTTCACTAATCAATCAAGTAGCTTTTTCAGTCTGAGGAGAGTTGATAGATCCCTGATATATCCTCCATGTTGATAATAAGAAGGAAGTCCAGTTGCCATGACTCATCTTCCAGATGTATTGAAAGAAGTTCATCTCCCTATTGCAGCAGCCCATTTAACTACAGAGCAACCTATAAACTTTAAAACCATTTGGAGTATTGGTTATGGATCTTGCATTGTTCTATGTATGTCACTTTAAAGACCAGCATTCTCAGTATGTACTGATGAATTTAAGAGTTTTGCAGAAAATAAAAAATGTGAGACAATGTACACATAGGGGAGTTAAGATTTCTATAAGTAATTCTTATACAAAATCACTATTCACCACTCAGGTCTCCATGGAATACACAGAAACCTATACATGTCCACTCTGACGCATGTGGGCTTGTGCATTTGTGAGCATGCATGTGTACATAGAGATACATGCACATATATTGTGATTTTCCACCAGGGGGGTTAGAGTTTCTCAATTCAATTTCTTCATTTCCCAGATAAACTACAAAGTACTTCTAAAGTAATGAATCTTGTTCTTTTACTTATTGACTAAGTATGGGACCTACACTGCCAGCAATATAGGAAGAATACCAAATGGGAGACTGCAACAAAGACTTCACTGCTATCATTGCCTCCTATCACCCCACATCTAAATTCTTTTTTTTATCTCAATGACATGCAGCTTTAAAGGGATACTGGACTTTAAAGTGGCGCATGGCTGCAGTCTTGACTGACTGGTCTCTGCAGACATAGCATGACACAGATTTTTGCCCCTAGCCTACTACCATCCCCAGTTCTCAAACAGGTCGTTTGGAGGCTCCTCTGGAACCTGCCTCTGGAGGTGCTGCTGAACTAAGCTGCACATATTTCTAGCTCCTTGATAATTTACTAACACTAGCTTATTGCCCAGATCTTTTTCACAAATTTACACAATACTGAAAGAATAATTTGCTCCTGACAAAGTACTCATAATGACCAGATAGGCAGTATATATATAGTTGACTATTTTCAAAGTTGACTTTTCAAGTATTTCTTACACC